GTAGATTTTGAAAACCCAGACTTTGAGAGATTCCCAGGTATGGCCCACCTGGAAGGAGTCGAAACCGTCTTGGGTCCAGGCGAAGTCCTACATATCCCTATGTATTGGTGGCACCAGATAGAGAGCCTCCCGAATCGTGGCCATACTGTGTCTGTCAACTTCTGGTATAAGGTAGGGTGATTTTTGTTCTTGCTTCATTTGTGAGTGGAACGGATTTAATGATAACGAACTTTGGATATATAGCTTGAGATTTCTCTTCCGTCTGATGTAGATTATTGGGATGTGATTGTACGATAGTGTGTTTAATAGCCTATGAGTAATGCCTGTTCATATACACTTTGTTGCCATTAGTGTCACCATTTATTGTTTAATGAGTAAAATTAGTTTTCGTTTGTAAGGGCCTCTGTTTGGTTATAGTGAGGCTGCTGCTAGATTAGTGGAAGCAGTGATATGGTGGTATGGCTTTGTTAAGGTATAACATATGGTGATAAGTAACATGAAGTAACAGGACTGGGAATAGTAGTGTTTGAGTTCTGGCTTGGCCGTGCCCAGCTTAACCCAATGGCGCCGGGTGTACAAAAGAAAAAAAAAACTCTACGCTTAAACAAACAAAGGCGACGCGCCGACTTTGAGCGTGTGAGTAGGGGACATCAGCCCGAATCACTGGCTCGCCGCGCTTTGGCGCGCCGCCGGCTCGTTCGCCTGCACGCCAGCTTTTGAGCTCTTTGTGTACACGCCGATCGGCGTCACCCGGCACCAAGGGGTTAAGTGGGCCAAACTTTGAGGTGTTGGGTGTATGGCAGTAGGACTGATTCTATCTTTGAGCAGTTTGTCTTGCAACATGATGACCTTGTTTCCCTGTTTCATCCCTTTGTGTTGAAAAACGGCATATTATATGGCATAGTTATTGCACCCAATTGCCTTTTCTATTGCAGTGTGATTCTCACACTGCTCTGCCGCTTACCATCATCTTGCTCACAAGATGTTACAGATTGCTCATCCTCAGGGGCTGATAACCTTCATGAATGGTCCAAGCCCTTGGGTGGGTGTTTTACGGCATCATCCCCTGGGTTGGGCCAGCCAAGCCACCACTCAAGTCCTGTTTCCCATTTGTTAGTCTTGTTATATTTGCCTCATCACTGCCCCATCAGTCTAATAAGAGATTCTGTAATATCAAACCAGAGGTTCTTACAAGTTTGTAACATACTCCTCAAAACCAGATATGTACCTTTGATAGCCCTCAAGTTAGTAGCTGAATTTGAAATTGGCCCATGAAGGGTTTTTGATTTTGACACTCCAGGGCAATAAGCAATGCATCTGATTTTTCTTCTAAAACCTGATTGAAACAAGTTAAATTTTCCTTTTAACTTTATATTTCAGTAAACATTTTAACCTATGACAGGGGTCAGATCGTATATAAATATTTTCTAGAACCAGCAGCCTATTAAAAGACCTTGATTCCCCTAGGGAGGGCCAACAGAGAGGGTTGAACATCCCCTGAAGCCTCAGCAGAAACTGGCGGTGATGCGCAACATAGAGAAGATGTTACTGGAAGCCCTAAAGGACCCTGCAGAAGTGGGACCCCTCCTGCGAGCCCTTGTAATTGGGAGATACACTGGGCAGGTGGCAGAAGGGCAGGAAGGGAATCTGTGATTGGGACTGACCAGGTCATGTTTTATATTTAGGATGTATCTTGGTACCTGTAACAAGCACGTGGAGTTCCTAATACTGGAAGAGATAATAACATCAGAGTTCATGGCGAGAGGTGAAGTGGCCCAGATGCCTATTGTGTTCAGTGCACATGTCATGCTGTCTGTGATGTTTCCAGAGAAATGTGCTTTAAAGTCATTTATGTCTGTGGTGGAATCATAAGATGCAGTTTTCATTTTCATTTGTTTTGTTTCCTTATGTAAATGTCTATTTGCATGGGTTTCTTCATTAAAGTGAGGTAAAAGGTATATTAAATGTAAGCATTCATAAGTTGTTTTTTCTCTCTATCATTTTTGTTTTCACTCTTTTTCTACAATTCAATTTTTTTATTTACCTATAAAGTAAATACTTTGCTGTAATGCAGTTGTTGTCAGCAAAATAAACTAGTAGTGTAAGGATTCAGAACAAAATGTGTCTGGCTGAATGTGAGGGATAAAGTTTGAGAGATCGAAGGTGAAACCCAATAAAAGAATTTAAGGAAAAAAAAAAAATTAAGAATAAAAAAATCTTTCAGGAAGTACATTGGGTTTTATTGGTGCTATGTAAGGTTAGAAATGGATGACTGTGGATAAAATAATTGCAGTGTATGCTGACAGTACACTGGAGATTTAGGCTTTGATAAGGGATAGGGTATGGCAGTTGTTTTTCCATAGTTTGTCTCCTATGATTTGATGTATTAAATATCACACTAAATATCTGTATATTTTAATATGAACCTTGTAGCTAATTTCCTGTAATAATGATGAATTCTCACAACTCCAAGTAAGTGATGAGTGTTTCGAGGCTCAACACCTTAAAGTTTATGGCACAGACAAGAGTTAATTTGCAAATAAGAAAAATGCAAATTTATTACCAATTTACAATACGAAATAGTGATAGATTTAATCCGACAAATGAAAGATTTTCTTATTAGGTGTTCTTCCTGTTTATCAAGAATGTAGATATCTGATTTCATAAAAGAATCTATATTTCCTATTTTTTTCCTCATTTGGTAAAGAAATAACAGATGAACTTTGAGCTATGCAGACTGTTGCAATATTTGTTATCCATTGTGTGTCTTTAATATATCAGTAGAAAGAGAAGCATGGTTGCATTGTCTGTGTTGGTGATTGACTAATGTTTTGGCCAATTGTAATGCCTCATAGAGGAGGAAAGTGCAGGCTTGGAAATATGAAGAGGCACGAGACTTGCAGTGGGAAGTCTTAATTAAAATTTAAAAAACTAGAAGAAATTTAAGATAGCTTATGAGAAAATGTTGAAAAAATCTCATGATCTATATTCATGTTTCTTAAAGCACTTTGAAGCATATTTGTTACTGTAAAAGTAAAATATGATGAAAATCATACACAGTACAAATTGCATACAATACAAAAGCATAAATGTAATAGAGCAGTGACTACTACCCTTCTTTCAAAAGGAATATTAAGATAAAATACAACTATGATCTTGCTTCAGTCTTTAGTGTGCAATATTGTTTTTCCATGGATGTGAGCTTGATATTCTTACATTCATTATTTTACAGCTGGGATGCATTGTTCAGTAGAACAGTAGAGATAGTATCCCAAGTATACAACTTATTTTAAAAGGAATAATGATACTTAGGATCATATTTGACAGCCAGAATATAATCAGCAAACTTTTCAATAGTCTAGTAAATTCAGCTATTTGTTAACTGAAAATTATTGATAATTGATTAATGAGTCATATATGGATGTTCTAAGGAAATAAAGAAGTAAGATGTCCATCACCTTAGTAATTTCATTTGAGAGTATGATGATGAAAGGGTGATTTTGTAGACACTTCAATGTATTTCAATAATACACTGTAATGCTTCAACTTCTCAGATGTGGCTAATGGCTTTAGCTTTTGACATACCAGAATTGTGAAAACACAGGTAACATTAAGATATCAAAAGTATTTTTGACTTATGGGATCTGTGCATTAAGAACACAAGTATTCTTAATCGTAATACAATAAAAATGACAATTTGATTATCTAGCAGTGCTTGATTAAATGCAAGAATCAAGGTTAAGCCATAATTCTGTTATTTCAATATTTCCAACAACCTATTTAATTTTTGCCTGGAATTAGTTATTTTCACCATGCATATAATGAAATTGTCATGACCAAGTGCATGATGAGTACAGAAATACTTATATGAGCATCTGTAATCCTAACTTCAATATGCATTGCTTTAGTATCATTATTGTTTAAATTTAGTAAGCTCTTTCTTGAGATTACCTTTGGTCGAAAGCATATTCAAAAGATACTTAAACATCACCAAGACATGTATTTATGTATATTGGTTGGGAAGACAACTAGGATGCTACATAATGTAAGTTCACAGAAAACCAGTTGATAATGTTATGATAAACTGCTAAGTTTGGGGACCTGAGGGAAGATGATGAAATCCATGTAAATTTCAAACTCACTCAACTCTCACTCTCACTCACTCTCTCTCTCTCTCTCTCTCTCTCTCTCTCTCTCTCTCTCTCTTTCTCACTCTCTCTCTCTCTCCCTCTCCCTCTCCCTCTCCCTCTCCCTCTCTCTCTCCCTCTCCCTCTCCCTCTCCCTCTCTCTCTCTCTTGCGTGTGTGTGTGTGTGTGTGTGTGTGTGTGTGTGTGTGTGTGTGTGTGTGTGTGTGCGCACGTGCGCACATGCATGCATAAATGAGTGCATGTGGGTGTTTGAGTGAGAGTGTATAGCATCATGGTTGCCTTCTACAGAAGACAAGGATTTGTGGATTAGATATCAACCCCTCAGTGACAGCATAGAAATCTTTCAGTGTCATAGACTCTGGTGATTTCGCTGAACGTGCTCTAATGTGTCACCGCGTGTATGGCCATACCCTGCAGACCATGTGGTTTGTTATGACAGCTATACACGTGACCCAGCAGTAACGGGTTAAACAATTCTTGGGTATTAACTGAGCTATGATGTATACAAATTTTTCATTATGTAAAGAAATAATAAGTTTTCTACAAGTATGTAATGAAATATGTTGCATAAATCCTAATTTTTCTAGTATACCAAATTTCTGTAATAAAAAATATGTTAAAAAGACACTGATTCTTCAAGAAGTAAATACATAAAGGTTGCAGTATTAAGCAATTATACCATTATTTACAGCTGTTTTAGAGTAAGTTTATTCTGAGTCATTAAAGTGATTGAATTTTCCTGGACGTAATGGCTACAATAAAATGTCCAGTGTAAAGTGGCTTTTCAGTTTACAGCCATAATTGAAAATTTGAACAAATATCAAATAAAACATCAAATCAAGTACTGTTATTAATTCAACCTTGATAGTAGGCAGAGTATTTTTATTTGTTACACGGGAAAGCATCGTCTCTCACAATTTCATATATGATTTTTGTAACCTATTTTCATGTAATACAATTAGTTTTACCGCCATGATCCTTTACTATTATTATTATTTTACTATTATAATTTTATTTTTTTGCAATAATAAGATTGTGATGGATTGATATACAAACTATGTATAGGGAAGTGCATCATAGGAATAGCTTGTGACGTGTCAGTGTCAGAGGATACCATGATAACTTTTTCATGCAAATTTGCCGGGTAATCAGAGCCACCAATCAAGGAAGTGCTCCTACAGTACACTACTTAAGGGTACATATATCATCAACACTAAAGCTTCTTTGGTGCTGTAAGGAGACTTCTCATATAAAAGAAAATTTACTTGCAATTTTTAATGGTTGGCTAAAGGTTTTATCTGAAATAGTTACTAGTTAACTAGAATAAAGCATTATAGGGATCAAAGAGCTGCCATTCTGGATTCAAAGCTGTACCTGACACGGAATGCAGCTAATCAGTACAAAGCAGCAGTGATTCATGTGAACAAGCAAACCATTTATGTTAAAATATTAACCTTATTTACACTTGGCCCCTATACCACTCATGCCAGAAATACACTGAACCCCCCCCCCCCCTCCAACTAAATGTGTTGTAGCTGTTAGCAATGCCTATGTTTGCTCAGATCTCTCTCTCTCTCTCTCTCTCTCTCTCTCTCTCTCTCTCTCTCTCTCTCTCTCTCTCTCTCTCTCTCTCTCTCTCTCTCTCTCTCTCTCTCTCTCTCTCTCTCTCTCTCTCGTGGATAATACCCTAATTTTTACAAAAAGGACATTTTCACTTTTTTTTCCCCTCTCACTGCTCTTTGTTGTTCTGAAGACAACATTATCTTGAAAAGATACAACCAGGATTCTGTATGGAAAATGTCCTACTTATTATCATAAGAGTATAAAAATATTTTTTGAAAAAAAAGTTTTTCAGATCTCATGAAGGGAAGATTAAATGGGTGTAACTAAGAATCCCAGCTAAAACAAGAAGAAAAAAAGAAAAAAAGTAAAAAAAAGGTCACTACCTTGTCAGAAGAACATGGGATGTAGACCAATCTAGTCCTTTATTTCATGTTTCTTGATGTGGTATATCAGAGACATATGTGTAGTTATGACTATACCACAGTCAGCATCACCATTGCTTAGTATAAGTTTTGTTCAGGTCCCTTGTATTTCTATTGTGTGTGTATTTCATCTAATTTTTAGGCAGCTTACTTGCCACCAAAAGGGTTATAGTAAAATGTATGCCCCTTTTCTGCTCTAGCAACTTTTGAATAGCTTACCATTCTGAAATTCAGATTTTACTGAGTAACATCTTATCTTTAAATTGGTATGGTGGAGGGGATTACTATACGGGGAAAGAGAATGGGGAAACTCTACGCTTTTTTCTGTAGGTGGAAAAGCACTAATATAAACACAAAGTACAAAATGTATGGCCAATCCACATAAAAAAGAAAATATAGAAAGAAAGAAAGCCAGAAATTAAAGGAAAGGAAGGGGGGGAGGGAAAAAAAAATCTATATCTAAAATATCTATATCTATATCTCTATTTATCTATCTATATAATATATGCTACATATATATAATATATCTATAATATATATAGTAAATATTTTATACATATATATTTATATATATATATATATATATATATATATATATATATATATATATATATATATATATATATATATATATATATATATATATATGTATATATATATATATATATATATATATATATATATTTATATATATATTTGTGTGTGTGTGTGTGTGTGTGTATATAATATAATATATATATTTATGTAATATATATGATAAATTTATAATATATACAGTGTATATTTTATACATATTTGCATTTGACTAGGTGGCCAAAATGCCAACATTTCTGACATTGACGGGGAATGAGTTTATATGGTCGGACAGGGCAGGACACTCCACCAGTATAAATTTCATGGGGGAGGTCATATCTACAGAAGCTAATCTTGTCAATATTGGTGTAAGACCTACTTTGGTCTCTGGGAGGAATAGTGTGGCACTGGATTGCCACTACATCATAGTCAAAGAGACATGCGAGCAAGTTGTTTTCACAGTCTGACCAGTCCTTGTCATAGACAGGACAATCAGTCAGAGACAGAAACAGTTCCGGTACAAGTATTAAAGGAGGAGTGAGGCTGGGCTGGAATAGGTTTGCCCGTGAGATCAGTCAGGGTAGAAAGTGCATGAGCTTGAGACTCAGATGTAACTGTGACAAGGCATGAAAGATCAGAATGACGGCAAAAGGAAACTTTGCCTACTTATTTTTGGAGACATTGCTGGAAGAGAAGGGTATTGTCAAAGTATGGGGATGTAGGAGGAACCACAAAGAATTGATCCCAAAAGGTTTGTAGAGATGGAAGCAGTAGAAGAATGAGGGCAGGAGGAAGATGGGGTGGTATGGACAGAGGCAGTACTGTTGGGAGGAGGACAATAAGGATGAAGAGTAGCAATGGAGGGGGGTGGAGGTAGACAATAAAGAAGACTGTGCACTCGAATATGGAGAGGAGGATGTTGGGAGAGAGGAAGGGGTGTGTTCTGAAGGATGAATAATGAACTGGGTGAATAATGAAATCATATTTAGATAGGCTAGTTGTTGAAAGAGCAGGCCTTAATGCCCATAATAAAGGTAAAACATTATTGGACACGGCAAGCCTGAAATAAATGGGGAGAGGAAACGGTCTACCCCTCAGGATCCCCATGTGGGGTAAGGACTTGACAATTTACCATTAATGCTATGCCTGTAACTCCCGGAGGCCAATCATGACTGACACCAAGGCAGCTTTTTGTCCTTTCAGCACAGTTCTCACACCCAAGGAAGTGGACAGAAGATGATGAAGAAGAGAAGGAAAGGAAAGGGGGAGAAGAAAAGACCATGCAAAATTAGTTGAGGAGAGGGCTGAGGTCCAAGGTAGGGGTGATCCCTTACGTTGGGCCCCAATCTCCATCTCCTAAACCCCCTACGACAACAATGAGCAAAGGATTAGAGACTGAACACATACAAAAATATTTAAGGAGTATCCACAGCATTTAGGAATCAAGTTTGGAAATCTAGGAGGACTGTGAAAATTGAACAAGAGGGTACAGGTGAAATTACTATGTAAAATGAGGCAGAATGGTAATGAAAGGTCTGTGTTTAACAGATGCCTTAACCTATTAGAACTGGTTGACATGACCAGCACATCATGAAGGAATTTGGCTGAGGCCCAGATGACTTGAATCTATTATAAAAAAAATAAATAAATAAAGGCTGAGGTGACAGGAATGACACACCATCAGTGCATAAAAACTCTTTGAAGAGGATTAAACTCAGTAGGTTTTTAGGGAAGGGGCTCTTGCATTACTTCCATGGGTAAAAGATTGCACAATGTACCATCTGTGGGCCATAGATGGAGGAGTGCAGGCTCAAGGGAGGACATTATTTCCAAGCTCAGGATCCTATTCCTGCTTAATTTAATGTGACCAGTGAAACAAGCTGTGTTATAGAAATATTGATAAGATGAAAACATTTTTAAAATAACATAAAATATTTCTTATTGTTACTGTTATTGCACCAAGTCATAGACTACCTAGAGAGATGATATAGGGTCTGTGCAAAGAAAACCGTCTATAACCATCCTGATTCAGCATAGATCTTGGAAAATGGCAAAGAAGCAAAAAACATTTACGCAGAAAAAGAAATAGCATTGCAATGGGGAGGTAAGGAGTCTTGACCCTGCACACAAGTATTCCTGTGGATTGGGTCTGTACCAGGGTTAGTCACCACTCAGGTAAGCCTACTGCCTGGATTTTGGGCCACATGCAGGCACCAAGGGAACTAGACCCAAAGATGATGATGAAACTCAAGCACTCATGCATGTATTGATGTTTTTCCAAATACTGTATGCAGCTTTTTTTTTTCATTTTTCTTTAACTTCTGCAGAAATACATCTGTTTATGTTTGACAATGCAAGTTATCAAACAGATCTCTTTTGAAACAATAGCAGGAAAATAAAAATACTAAATTGTGAATAAGATTATGATTCTCTATTAAATCAAATGAAACATTGCCTATAAAAAAATCTTCAGTGACAACAGAGCGACAGGTG